GGAATAGGACTGAGTTTGATGAGGTAACCCCAGTAGTTGCTAAGGGGCAACACCAGTGCCTGGTTTTTATAGGAGAGATGTGGTACAGAAGGGGTGGTAAAGCAAGTTTCAAATTTCTTTTAAAATTGTCTGGGGCTAGCCCCTTACCAAGGAAAGCAAACTTCCCTTTTACTCCAACTCCTCCTGCCCCTACTCCTTAGCATATCACATAGTACAAGGCTTTGGTAAATCTCCTTGGAAATTAAGCACCATGGTTAACATTGCTTCTAGCAAAACAAGTAGCAAAAAGCCAACAGTCTACAAACATACTTGTAGAAAAATCAGTTATTTGTAAGTATATTAAACAGTGATGGTGATGATTAATATTCACTGAACACTCACTGTGAGCCAAGCACTGTCCTATTTGCTTTATCTAGATTAAGTCGGTTTATTTATATAGCACGTCTGTCCCTACAAAAGGCGAGTAAGTCTTACAGAAGTCACCCCATCCAAGACCAAAGCCAGACAGTGATAAGAGTTGAAGCAGGTCTATCTAGTTCCAAGCACTGAACAGGGGCAGAGTGCCTTCACTATTTGTAAAGTTAAATTAAATAATGAATTCTTAAGTGTCTCCCCAACCCCCAAAAAGCCTAATGTCATTTAGGTTAATGAATTTTTCTGGCAATCTGATGTCTTCTAATAGCTTCACAATAGCTCCCCAGGAGAAAGGGACCAATATTTTTAAAAAGCGACATCAATTTATACCGCCAGAGGGCAGAGATTAGCAACAACGACAAAAGAAAAAGAAAAACCCATAAAATTCTATTTAATGTTAACGTTCTGTTTTAAATATTCCAGTATTTTCTGTATTATATTCAATAACAAATGTTTAATGCCTACAATAAATACAAATTTCTTCAAATCTACAGACCAAGCTGACGTTCCAGATAAGGTTAACCTGACGCTTCCCTGTAACCCTTGCTCAGCTCTCTCTGATTCCCAGTTTGACAAGCGCGAATTGTGGAATGCTGTCTCCAATGCTATTTCCTCCGATCACCGCCTCAGCTATCAGCGTGAAGGGCAAACTAATACCCCGTCGTCGCGCTTCCAGAATCTATCGCGCTAATGCATATGACAGCTCTTGGCTCACACTAAGCACTCAATTCGTTTTGGCTGAAAGTCATCCGCAAATTATTTCCTTGTGCCCTTGAACTCTTCTAAGGTCAAGCGGGAAGAATGCCGAGCACAGGCAGATGAAACGCCAAGGGAGTCGGAGCCACCGCGAGCATCTTCACCAAGAGCAGTCCGCATCCCAACCCCCTAAGGGGAGCCTTGTATGGGGACAGCAAAGGGGCAAGGGAAAGGCGTCCTTCAGGCTGGACTGGAGCCACCTCTCGCCTTAAGCCGAAGAACTGGCCACTTAGAGACAGCAAAGAAAGAGAAGCAAGAGGCTACGAGAAGAAAAGGTTGAAGGTAGAGATGCCCACCAGATAGGACATCGGTCACCTACCAGCAGGCCTGCTCGCCATTTTGACCGGACACTGACGCGTTGCCTGCTGGGTAAGTCAAAGAGGGCGCGCTGGGTCCAGTGCGCATGCGCCTCAGATCGTGTCGCGAGGCAGGGGAAGACGCCTGCGCAGGCGCAGTCCTGGCGCCGACGACCGGTACTCGTCGTGTGTTCCCTTCCGCCTGAGGCTTTACCAAAGGAGTAGTGAGGACATTTTGCGCGCCTGGTTCCAAGAAGTAATTCATGTGACGTGAGAGGAAAAACCCTAGGGAAGCAATTAGGGCATTGAGACTGTACCTTGGGTTCTATTAGAGACGAGCTATAAGAGCTTGGACAGTATTAATTGTGCCCTTGAGCCAAGCAACATGCTAAACATGTGATGGGCATATTCTCATTTAATTTTCTCATTTAATTCTAATTCTTAAGTACTATGATTATCCCCATTGGAGAGAGGAAGCAACAGGCTCAGAAGGGTAGGATAAATTGTCCAAGGACACATAGCTAGGAAGAATCCAGATTCATCCTCGAGAACCTCAGAATCCAGACAAAACTTTGGGACTCCTTAATTCTAGTCGTATATGCTACACTATTAATCTAGGAGAGACTAACCTCCCTCTGGTCTTCAGTTTCTCCAGCTGAAGATCTACACCTAGCCATGTTAGTACAAGTTAAAGGTTAGTTCAGGAAAAAGAAAAAAAATATTAAATCTAAGACACATAGCAGAATTTGCATGCAGTCAAGGTAAAAGCAAGTACATTTTTAAGGACTCAACTCCAACATATTAAGTCTAGGGAATGCAAGTCTAGAGACAGAAAAAGATCAAGGGTTTTAGCATGACGCTCATTCAATTGTGGGGAACTTCTACCATCACTACCGTCTTAGTTAGCAAAGACTGCTGTAACAAAATAGTATAGACTGGGTAACTTAAAAAACAAATATATTTTCTCACATTTCTGCAGGCTTAGAGGCCCATCAAGGCGTCAACCTGGTCAGTCTCAGGGGAGAGCTCTCTCCCTCTGGCTAGTAGTAGGCTGTCTTCTCACTGACTGTGCACATGGCAGGGAGAGAGGAAGCTGTTTTGTTTCTTCTAAGGGCACTAATCCCATCATGAGGACCTCATGGTTATGACTTCATCTAAACTTAATTATTTCCCAAAGGTCCCAGTTCCAAATGCCATCACATTATGGGTTAGTGTTTCAACGTATGAATTTTGGAGGGGATGCAATTCAGACTATAGCAACTACCTACTAATACCTACTTTTTCTTTGGTCTTGAGACCTGGGGCAGTAGAATCCATCTCATTATAAGTTCAAAAGGTTAGATCTAATGGTCTTCATCCATTTGTTCTAAAATTGTTGCCTTCTTTCTCATTCTCTGTGCCACCACAATTTCCCACATTACTCATCCTGTACGCATAACTAAATGAACACATACCTAAATGTTAGTAATCTGAAAGATGTAAAGAAATGTTATACTTTTGTACATTGGCCCATTGCCTTATATAAGAAGCAGTACACTCTTTTCCCTTCTTCTGTACCTCTTAAGTTTCAGTGACAAGCCAAGGAAGACCTTGCCAAGGGATGAGATACCCAGGACTATCACCAAATCCAGCTGCTACAGGCATTACTTCTGAAGCCTGGATGTTTGCTGGTAGTCATTAATGGTGATTCAGAAATGATTTTTGGTTTCCCTCCTAGCACACGGTGTAACTGCACTTCGCTCAACGCTTAGGGCTAGGCGTGGCCATGTGATGGTTTGGCCAAGAATCATGCGAGAAGTTTCTAAGAGCAATTTTCTGCATTTCTCTTCTGTAGACTGACTATGCTCAACATGGTGGAGGCGCCATCAACCTCAATCACTAAAGATGATAGAGAGCAAAGCCTTTTTTGGTCACAAATTGGACAAGTATGGTTAACTTTGGTGGCTTTAAATCATTTGAAGTTTTAGGACTATTCAGTACAGCACCACAGCTAGCCTATTCTGACATGAATAGGTTGTTAATAAAGGCAAAATGAAGTCTCAGCCATAGAAAGACCCGGCAGGATGGTCGTGCTTTTTATCCCAGCTGTAGCTTCTTCCTTGTGTCCTGTTTATTGATCTCATCCATTAGAGAACTCCATGGAGACACAGGTCTCTGGCACACCTTACTGCATTCTAGGAACTCCAATGCTGAGCAAATGAATAAAATACTTAACAGGAAGGCCACTATGCTTGGCCCTGACCAATCACAAATTTAGTTTCTCATGAGGTTTCAGAATCCAACACACCACAAAATACTGGTGCACAACAAACTATCCTCAAAGTTACTGGTGTAAAACACTACTGTTTCTACCAAGTCTGAATTCAACTGGGTAGTCCTGCTCCATGTGGTATCTGCTGAGGCTGGAATATCCAAGGTAGCCTAGTCACTCTCATGTCTGGTGCTCAGTTGGCATCACTTAAAACAGCTGTGATTTGGCCAGGAATCTCCACCAAGAGGTTTAGACTTGATGTGCAAGTGGTTATCAAGCAGAGGCTTGATAGTATCCCTTGGCAAAATCACATTGGCTCAGGTTCATCCTGGAGGAAACTATATGAGTGCAGATACCAGGTGTGGGTCCCTAGGGACCCCTGGTGTTAACATTCTACTCAATCTTGAGATGCTAAGGCAGATAATTGAAGTCATGATGCCTCATTTTCCAAATAATCAGTCTCAGAAGTTAAATCATTTGCCCATGATTACATATCTAAACTGTAACTGTAAAAAAAAAAAAGTATGAATTCATGTAATCTTTGCACACAGGCACTGTCAAGTTTGTTATGACCTTTTATTATGTCTTACTGCCGCCTACTTATCCTTCAAACTACTTTCCTCCTTATCCCTTTTCCTTTCCTAATTCTCAGCAGCCACCTGTGGGTGACTTTGAATATTCATGCTTGGCAAGACAAGAGGGTAGATAGTCCAAAACTGCATGTGTTTTGTAGCATTATCTAAGTGAGTAGTAGGTATTAGATAAATAACAGTATGCTCCAGAAATTCGTTTAACATTTCAAGAAAATACAGCTGTCTTGTGATGAAACGTTTGAAAGACCTGTAACTCTAAGAGGAAAATCCTCTGCTTTCTCATCTTCACCAGAATGACAACATGCCAGCCTACATGTAGTAAACCGACTCTCTCTCTAAGCTTGCTATATTGTTAGTCAAGGCTGCCCAACCTCCAGGCCCCAGATCGGTAAGGGTCTGAGCCGATCAGGAATCCGGCCACACATCAGGAGGTGAGCTGGAATGCAATGTGTTTGAATCATCCTAGAGCCATCTCCCCATACCTGGTCTGTGGAAAAATTGTCTTCCATGAAACTGGTGCCTGGTGCCAAAAAGGCCGTGGACCACTTTGTTAGTTTTTCCCTTCTCCAGAAGGAAGAAAATGATTGAGTCAAAGAATTAAGCCACTAGGAACTTTTAAGAAAGATTTACCAGAAGTGTACCCAAATTTACAATACCAAGAAAGTGTTTCCAATATCAATTGAGGCTTGTGGCATTTATTTTGAAGAACAGCATATTAATTTATTCATATTTACATTTACTTTACATGATTACATTTTAACATCAAAAACTAAAGAGTTTTTAAGAATCTTTCAAAGTCCTGTACTGAGGCTTTGGCAATCTCTTCACAAAATATTTCATCAGGCATTGATACCAATCTGTCCAAAGAGATGTAGTTAGGTTTTGCGGGATCATACTGTGCTCTTCCTAAGTAGGTGAGAAACAAATGTCTTTCTTTGACTTTAAACAATCTTGTATTAAATACCTACAAAAGAAAAGAAGTTAAAACAAATTGTGCACTGAAGTATGAACTATTAAAATGTTTATATGGCTATATATAAAGTATTGACTGCATGCTCTATGAATATGGTAAGTGCCCAGGGTTTAAACCTTATACGTTCCAATAAGAAATTTTGATTAAAAAGGGACTCAAAACTCACAGAGCAATTACTTAAAAAAAAATTAAGGGCTACATTGTAGGCAAAAATATTGACTAATCAATTTAGAGACATGGGAGAAGATGTTAAAAAAGCAAATCCTCAGGCTCCATCCCAAACCTACTTAATCAGAAACTTTGAGAGTGAGGCCCAGAAGTCCTCCACATGATTCATTCAGTCACCTGCCAAGTTTGAGAACCAAAGATAAAGGTCAAGTTCTATGGCATCAAAAAATGTGTAAGATTTCATAATCTGTGACGCTTCCCTACTTTCTTTGTTTTTCCCTCAAATTCCTGCTCATATCAAAATGAAATTAACCTGGCCTCCAGGGGAGCAACTAGGGAAGAGTATACATCTTTCCCACTGCAGGGTGAAAACTGCTGAGGAGGAGAGTAGCAGCAACTTTAAAAAGGAATCAGAAACAGGCTAAGTCCCTACAGCCAGCTTCAAGGAAGAAGGAAGAATTGGGAGATCTAGCCAGGCTGGAAAGAGAGCCCTAAGATGAAGGGGCAGATACCTGTGAGGGGCCCTGGCGAGGCCCAAATGAACCGCATTCAGTATCATGTCTCAGGTTCTTCTCTTGACTATATTTCAGGTGCACTGGGAACACCCCACATTGCACATAACCCCTAGGAGTCATTCATGTTCAAGTGGAAACAACGTAATGGATCACTTGGAAAGGACGTATGTAAAACAACTGTTGAAAACCAAACTACAGTGACCAAAAACAAGTATAGTGTTCTAACTTAACATGGGATTGGCCTGCTTTTGAACATCTTTTTTTCTCTGAGAAAACAAATTACAAGGTGTTCTGCCTTCATTTTGATAACTAAATTCCCATTACTGCTCATAAAAATGTAGGGAGCTTCCGGATGTATTTCTTTAGAACAGTGATTTTCAACTGGTGTGTTGCAAGAATTTTAAAACATGCAATACCTGACTATTTGGTCAAGGTCACCAACCTCTTTTCCCTTAGATTGCCAAATTTAAAAAAAAAAAAAAAATCCAATACAACAGTAACCGTTTGGTGTGAATGAATCAACACTATATTTTTTGGTCAGATCAGCAAAAAGTATAATATATTTTTTGGTGTGCAGCAGAATTTTATAATTAGCTTATGTGTGCCATGAGGTGAAAAGAGTTGAAAACTGCTGCTTCAGAAGCAGGACTCTTTTGCACTGACTCTTGGCTTACAAAATTATCAAACAACATCCAAACAAGACCACAAAGAACTCTGAAGCTCCCAACTATTCATTATAAATTTCCTAAATATGACATTTGAAAGCATTTATATAATTTATGACCAGTATGATGTTACTTCTCTAATGGTTGAAGGTTACTTTCTTACCTGAGATTTGGGTGATCTTTCCAATCCAAAAGCCATAGCTCAGGTTGGATTTTGGGTTTTTTCTTTCTTTTTTTGATTGTTAACCACCAAGGGCCACTTTGCCATTGGCAGAAAAATTTTGTTCTCTTAATGATACTTTAAGTTATCAGGGATTAAAACAAAAGCCCAGCCTGAGAATCAGGGAGTCCCTATTGTCCTAACGCAGACTCCAGTTCTGCCTTCAGAGAAGCCCACAGTGCGAGAGAAGAAACAAGGATTTACGGGCTCCTGAATATAACACCTCTCCTTAACTAGTGATTTCCTCACGCCATTCCCCTACTGCTTTTGTTATACATTACCATCCATGATCCAGCCTTGAAATGACTAAATTAACCATACCTATTAAGTTATAATTGTTTCCCATTTTCAGAAATCATAAAATAGATGTGCCAATAATAATTATTTGCTAGAGAAAATTAGTTTCACACCAGAATTTTTAAAGCGCCTGCCAAAAAATTTCAAGTCTATATAAGTTCCCTCACAGCTTATTGTCAGTTGATGTATTTTTCCATTAATAAGTTGGTTTTTTTTATTTTCCAGCAATACTACCTGGGTCCCTAGAGTCTTAAGAGTCTCAGTAGGGAAGCCACAGTTCTACAACGGGGCTTTCCAGAACCTAGAGTCTGTGGTGCCTAAAACCTGTGTTTATAAATGTGATTTTAATGCATCTGCTCATGTTCATAGTTTCCACTACTTGTAAAGCTTCTGTCCATCTTTGAGACCCCACTCATTCTACTGACAACTCAAATGTCACTTCTTACAGTGGCAGCAAATCCTAGTTAGGAGCACAGTTTTTAAACTCAACTGCCAAAGTTCTAATCCCAGCCCCTTGTTACCTGGGTAAACTTAGACAAGCTATTAAATCTCTTTATGGTTACTTTCTTCATTTTTAAGAAAGGGATAATAATAATACCTAGTTCACGTGGTTACTGTGAAGATGGAATGAATTAATACAAGTAAAGCAGTAAAGGCAGGCCTGGCACACAGTAAGCATTCAATAGCTGTTATTATTTCTATGATTTTCCTACCTCTTCTAAATGAAATTACCTATATAAGACATATGCTTAAGTCTCTAACTTTATGTAAAGCTATTACATTTTTAAAACCCACCTTCCATGTTAGATTACAAATTCCACAAGAATACAGGCCATGTCTGATTGATTTTTGTATCCTCAAATCAAATCAAATCCTCTTATCGTGCTTTAACTGTCACTGGATTATCTACGAACCCTGGGAAAAACCAGGTGCTACTGCTTTTTAGTTGAAGATTACTTACTTCACAATTGTCCCGTATGCCACATTTGCACCACTGCAGGCTTCTAACACATTTTATAATGAATACATATCCATTTGATGAAACAGAAAAATTTCTCTGCTAAGGACCCATTCATAGTGAAATATGATAGGTGAATAAACATTGCTATTTGTGAAAGAATTGGACCAAATGCAAACTAGTTCTGAGAGTTATATTAAAGTCATATTTCTTTTGCCCATCTTTATATAAAGAACACATGTAGCAAATGGAGAAGGATCACGTTGATAAAATTCAATCTTCCATTTATCCAATGAATACTTACTCTAATCACATGGCAAATAGGAAAGGATAACTTTGATGAAATGCAATCATTTATTTGTTCAACAAATATTTACCTAGTGCCAACTAATTGCTAAGTAGAGTTCCAGGCACTGGGAATTCAGCAGTGTATATTAATAAAACAAGATCTCTGCTTTCAAAGAGTTACAATACGGCTTGTTAATTAATGGATTTAGATAGACTTCAAAAAAAAAGTGTGCATAACACCGAAAGGACCTTTGAGGGAAGTGATCCATTTCAGCTTCAAATGGAATAAAACATAAAAGAGGATACATTAGATTCCAACAGACCTAACAAGGATCAGGTGAGAAGTATAAGGAACTAGATTCATCACTTATTTCTCCTCTGGAGATGAACATGTGTGCCCTAGAAGTTGTAAACTTTTCAAAAACTGTCTCTCCCTCTACTGTTTTGCCCAAAAAAGATGGGCAAAAGAAATATGACTTTTACACAGCTCTCAGAATTCAACTGCACTGGTCCAATTCCTTCACACACAGCAAGGCATTTTCCCAAGTGAAGAGCACCATGTGAGCGAGCAGCTCCAGACGGAGGGCAAGGGTAGCCCTGACAGAGAGCATGTGCATTACCTGTGGGAACCTGACAATGATGTGGTGGGGAACACTCATCACGTTGTGCACATAATCGAAAATCTCCGTCAGTTTCCTTTTATTTGCAGTTAACATCTTTGGGATTTTGGTGATCATATGTTGAATCTCATTATGTTTAAAACCTAGTTCAAGACGATAAACCTAAAAGAAAGGAGAGTTGCTATAAATCATGAGTAGAAAGTTATCTTGGTACTATGCCAGAGGACACACCAATTCTCTTAAAATTTAAACTAAGGACATTAAAATCTGGAGAGCGCTGTGCCAATGCACTCAAGGGATCCTAGCTTGCTGTTTCTGGGGTGACCTGAATTTCAAACTCCTCTCCTGAGAATGAGCTACTCACAGCAAGGTGATCATCAAGAGGACACAAAAGGAGTTATCACAACTACGAGAGAATGGCGGTGGGCCCCGGAGACCTGGCCGGGCTATCGTCATGGGCCCCACGACACAGACCCGCCGTGAGATTTTCAGAGTGCTTTTTGAGCCTCTGCTCCCAAGTGTTATCTGAAAAAGTACATGTCAAAATTCCAGACGAAGATGAAAGCACTGAACATCCAAATGTGGGTTCAGTCCTGTATGTGGTCAGGAGCCTCTGCGTCCCCACCAATCCTCTGTGCGAGCCGTCCCCCACTAGACTGGAAGCTCCATGATAGCAGGGACTCTCTCCCCAGCATCATGTGTGGGTAGATGCTCAAAAAATTTTTTTATAACTGAATGTAAAACACTTTAAGCATCTCAGAAAATAGGCCTTAGATAAAAGTTTCATCAACTACTACCACAGCTTTATGTACTAACTAGTCAGCTGCCCTTGGCTCTATGCTATTCTCTAGGCAAAAAATCAGTGAGGAATGTCTGGTATGTTTGGTGAGAGATGTGACAATTGGTACAGAGGCTAAGAAAGTGACATGGCCACTGCTCTCTTCCCAGAAGTATTCTGTATCCAGCCTCTAAAACTCATCTCCCACCTGGGTGACGCAGGCAGACTCTCATCCTGGCGATGGAAGCAGTTTTCAGTGACCACCCAGACACCTCATCCACCCTCGGATGACAGGCATCCATGTCTGCGAGGTGACTTACTCATGCAACACCTGGGGAACACGTGAAAAAAATACTACCAACTAGAACAAACTGCTGGCTAGGTATTTGCAATATTATTTTCTGTTTTCATCTTTTTAGAAATAACTTCACTTATCATAAATTTTTTTTAAATGACAATTGCAAAATTTATCCTTTTCAGGATTAAAACACTTAAAGAAAAAGCTGATTTCACAAAAGCTTAAAGCCATCCTACCTTCATATTTTCTTTCACGGGCTCCAGACTTCCAGTTAGTAGCCTTGGGAGACGAACTACCAGATCTCTAGTCTGTAGTTATAAAACAATATGTTATTACTATATGTGCATATCCAAGCAGTTTGGAAAACCAAAGCATTAATAGAAACAGAAAACTAAAAACCCTAAAATGATCCAGTCAGAGAAGTGTTAGGAAGCCCATAAATACTTAATACTTTAAGCATAAACCCATAAAAACGTTAATACTGTTTGAGGAAAAAAAATTTAAGGAAATGATTTGATGGAATATCATAAAATAACACAGCTATATGTTTAACCTAGCACCCTTATTCATACCTATTAGAAATATGAGATTTAACAGTTACTAAATGTAGCTGACATGGAAATATATAAATTCTACCCCCCTCTTTTTACCTTCTTCACACTAAGTTCAAGTTCTTTCTGAAAAAATCCCAATCTGTTATCCAGTCTTTCCACCGAAAAATTCAGCAAAAACGGCGCATTTCTGACCATCTGTGCGATATCTGCCTTACTGAAATTTTTTGACTGTAGATAAGCCACTCTGAAGAAACAAAGATAAACATGCATGATAAACTTTTACTAGTGGCATTCTATGTTCCAAAATAACTACTTTTTTTGTGTGTGTTTTTTAAAGGCTCCCACACCAGAGAGAAAGAGCGAGCGCACAAGCGATTAAAGAAAAAAACATTCTACAGTAATTGGCCAAATATGGTTAAATCAAGCATCTGTTGAATTATTAGAATGGTTTCCATTTACACTTAAAAACAGGAAATAATTCCCTTTTCAGTTAATCTGACTTATTTTGTTACTTGGTAGGGAAAAAAAGATTCTTTAAAAAATTTTTTTGGCCTAAGAATAGAAAATACAAAATAATAAAATAGATTCAGAATTTCTTTTACAAAGACAGACTCTCAAGAATGAGAGGAAATTTTTTATTGTAGTACATTTACTGAGCATGTATTTTCATAACTAATTTTTACTTCAGTCTTTCAATATGTATTCTGTTAACAATGAAGAAATTTCTGTTAAGTTTCTGGAAACCAAAGTAGGACAGAGAAATATAGAAAGTCTGACTATAAAATAATATTGATTTTCAAAAGTCTATAAACATAGTAAAGCCAGTTTTATTGAATGTCTAAAACACTCCAAGACATTATCTTGTTTAATTCTTACCAGAAAAACAAACAAACCTGCGAACTAGGTAAAATGTCCATATTACATTTGAATAAAACATAGATCCAGAGAATTTAAATAACTTGTAAGACTACCAACTAATTAATGACAAAGTTGAGATTTCACCTAAGTTTTATGACTACCTTTAACACCTATGATATTTTTATACTATGTAGCAGACCTTCTACTTTATATTCAAATGACTATTACTTCTTCAAGCAGTCCCTTAAAATCAAAAAAAGAAAAAACTGATAAATTTAACTACATTGAAATTTAAAATTCAAGGCAAGAAAACAGCATCCATAAGCCAAAGATAAGTGACAAATCTGGAGAAAATATTCACAACATGCCACAGGGAAAGAACAAATTTTCTTAATAGATAAAAGAATGCTTACAAAAAAAAATAGACACATAAAATATGCTCCAAACATTTGATGCTCAAAACATTTCAAAAACAACAAATGAGGCATAAAATATTTTATCTATAAAATGAACTGAAATCAAGTTTGATAACACTGTTTTAGTGGGAACAACAGGGCAACGGCACTTCTGTACACTGTTGGTGGGAGTGCAAACTGGTAAACAGCCACCTATATGATGGACAACTTGTCAGTGCCTATTAAAATTACAAATGCACACACACTCTGACCTAATAATTGCCCCAGACATACACCAATATGTATGGAATGACATATGTACAAGGAGAGTCACCGCAGCCGCACTGAAACAGTAACGGCTGTAAACAACCACCACGTTTACGGATATGGGACTCGACGGATCCAAAATATGAACTGGTGAAAAAATGAATAGGGAGCACCAAAGCAAAGTTATCTCCAACACAGAGCTAAAGTACGGAGGTGGGATGTGGAATGGTATGTATAAATGCTACCAGTTGTATGTGTGCTCGTGTGTGTGTGTATACATAGATATACATATATGCTGGTATATGATAGAACATTCTTAGCAGGTTGAACAAAAAACTTAACAGTTGCTGCCTCTATAGGTGGGACTTAGAAGGATGATGAAGGATGGGAGTAAGGTAGAAAGGAGGATGACTTTTTGTGTGTGTGGCAGCAAGGATCAATATCTGATTAAAATATCAAAATTTGTCCACATTGTGATACTTTTTCCAATAAAATATTAACATATAAGGCAAAACCAGAAAAAATAATTTTGATGCCGATTATTCATTTGAAAATTCTTACAAAGACTCAAAAAACTTTTTTATACATTTAAAATTTTCCTCATTAAAACAAGTACATGAAATCAATGCTGGTACAGAAATTCTAGAAAATAAGAACACTGTACATATACCAGAGCTAGAAGCTAAGTTCAATTACATAAATCTTACTTTTTCATTGTATATTCTTTTTTAATTTTTTACTTTTAAAGATTTTACTTATTTAATTTTTAGAGAGCGGGAAAGAGAGGGAGAGAAACATCGCTTGGTTACCTCTCATATGTGCCTTGAACTGGGACCAAACCCACAAGCCAAGCATGTGCCCTGACTGGGAATTGAACCAGCAACCTTTCACTTCGTGCGATGATGCCCACTCAACTGAGCCACATCAGTAAGAGCTCATTGTATATCCTTTTGAGTACGTGTGGATAAATTACCTATTAAAAAATTCAGAGTAATTTAAAAAATGCTCCACAGTTTGTCAGCCAGGTTTAGGAACCATCAGACTACTATCTGTATGAGAATACCTGTTAGTTGTCAGGAGCCTGTGTAACTTAAACTCCTTTTAAGCTTAAGTTTCCTTCACAGAATTAAATATACAGACAGTATGGTGTCGACTCTGGAGTTAGACTAACTTTTGAATCCCAGGCCTGCCATTTACACTAGCTATGTAATCTTGAGCAAATCATTTAACCTCTCTGTGCCTCCCCTATGAAATGGGGTATTAATAATAGTACTACAGCAGGAAGCCTCTGTAATGGCCCCCAATGATCCCCACCTCCTGGTATGCATGCTTTCTCAGAATTAATCTTGAGCAGTAAGGGTACGTTGGTTTTTGAATGGGAGGGAATTAGTGTTCCAGACAGCCAGGAGAAGCAGATCTGGATGTGCCAGACTGAGTTCCCTAGAATCATTCTTACTATCCCCTGCACTACAGTGCAAGGCCCATGAAGGGAAGGAACATGACTGTCTTATATCACTTAGAGACTAGCTCACTGCTTTGCAAGAAGGGCTCAAATTGTTCAATATAAGGAACGTGATGTTTTCTTTTGTTTTTTCCTAATTCAGAAAAAAAAGGCCATTAAACTAGGAAGAACTGCAAAGCTCTCTGATTGTAGTGAGGCTCAATATTAGCATGAGGCTAGTCTGGGGGGGAAGAGTACAGGCAGGCCAGCCAGGAGGCAGCTGCAGTGGTCCCGGTGTGAAGTGATGAAGACCTGAGGTAAAGCATTTGAAGTGAAGATTAAGAAATACAATGACTGACTTGAGAGATATAAATAGGTAAAACTGAGCCGTGACTGGAATGGCCCGGTAAGATTGAATGTCAGCCTGTGAACCAAAGGGTTGCAGGTTTGATTCCCAGTCAGGACACATGCCTGGGTCACAGGCTGGGTCCCCAGTTGGGGGCATGTGAGAGGCAACCGATTAATGTATCTCTTGCACATCAATGTCTTTCTCTCTCTCTCTTTCCCTTCCCTTCTCTTTCTAAAAATAAATAAACATTTTAAAATAAAAAGGTAAAATTGATAGAGTGAGGTGGTTTTTAGGTGTAGATACTAGAAGAGTAGCCCTAATTCACACCAGTATTTCTGACTTGGGCAACAGGCGACAGTGCTCTCAGCCAGTGACGCTGGGAATGCGGGAAAGTGACTTAGGTGGGAGGTGGGAGTGATGATGGATTCAAAGTGTGAACTTACTGACAGGGACTCTGCTTTGTTCTCTGTGGGATGTTCCCAATAGATAAGATGCCTAGCAGAAGGCTTATCTCACAGAGCAGTACTATCCCACTGTATTGATAGCCCAGAGCCAATAAATTCTTTGAATGTTGAATGACGCACAAAAGTGTTTACAGAAGTGCTGTTGAAAGATGAGAGAAAGGAACAACCAAAATAGCCAACTTACGGGAATGATAAATTATACAATAACCTGCCAAGAGGATGTCAAGTGTTTAACATCAAAAACTGACCAGTAACAAACACAAAAGTCCAGACTTTGTTAACTTTACGCGTATTCTCAGATAATCCTGCCATTTGTTAATTGATTAAAAAACAAACAAAACTTATTCCAGTTTCCAAAGAGAAACAGGTAAGTGACTCAGCAAGAAGTTTTTACATTTTTGTTTTCACATAAAAATAATAATGGGCCATTGAATAGAATAAAAACTGTTTTAGAGTTTTAATTTTGATCAAAGAAGGTCCAAACAAAACAATTACATTCTTGTTCATTAGCTCAGTTGATCCTTGTGCAGTTAAGTCTTAAAAAAATAACTTACACGTAAATTTTCTTCATAATCACTTCTTGGGTTAAATGAGAATCACTCCAAAACACCTACCTGGTCTTAAGATTTTCAAGATCTTCAGAGAAAATAGCATAATTTTTAGTCAGGAATGTTCCCAGTTGGTTATCCTCTATACCCAAATCTTTAAGAAACAGGAGTAGTTGCTTAATGTCTTTTTCAAAATCCAGTCTCAGAAGGAGATTGGCTGCATCTGGATGTTTTTCTATCTTGGACAAGTTCACTCCTATAATAAATTACAAACACTGTTTGAAGAAAACTGCTTAGCTCAGTCATTAAACTTCATACATAGGAGCTCAAGAAATTTGTGATGGAGACTAACAACCTCTTTGAAGGAGTTGAGAGAGGTCAAAAGAAACTTCAAAATACTTTTAAACTAAATTCGTTGCAGAAATAAAAATAAATTAAGATGAAAATACAGTCATATACAGTCATTCCCAAGCCACATACAGAGAAAAACAGTGAATCTGAGGCTAAATTTCCACCTAAAACAAATTCACTAATACTAGGATCATCACCATTATCTATGGTTTCTTGAATATTGTTTGAAGAGTGCTTATAGGCCCTAATGAGCTCCACAGTAATCACTTAACTGGTAATTCTGTAGGGTAACGAACCATGTGAATAAACAGTTAGTTTCTTTGAAGTTTTGTTTTTATAATTTCCTTAGTTATAAGCATTGCTTTAAAAAATGCTCATGATCCCCTCCACAGAAGGAATAAAAATGGCCCTATATCTTACTCATCACTGTCATCTCCATGTCTTCAGCACAGAGCCTTGAAGGAGCTCAAGAAATGTCTGTGTGAAAACAGGTGAACATATACAGCCTTCAAGTACACCACAAAGCAGGAAGTATACAACCTTTCACTTTCACATATTCTTAAAATCTTAGGTAATCTAAGTAAATTAGACAAGACAGGAAAGAATAAAAAGGGGAAACATCAAGTTGTTATTTCAAATCATTCTTTGGTTATGGATATAATTAGATAACAGCACTAATTAGGCAGACCATCAAAGTAACCTGTAATTCAAAATTCTCATTAAAACTGAGCACTTCATTCTCTCATTTTTTCTTTTATTTGATTAAAAAAATTAAACATGAATAGGAAAGGCCTATTCCTTATCATTAGAGTAAACATTTGAAGATAATGTAAAAGCTTTTTAGACTCAAATTTAATATTCATTAACATATCTCATCAGATTAAAAATAACTCTCAAACTGATTTCTAGATGGAACTTTACAGTCTTAAATATAAAAGCAACGAATTAAAACATTCTTTGTTTAATGGTGTCCACAACTAGAAAAAATTCTAATTCCATATTGTTAGATCCAAATATAATTCTAAACTCAAAATTTTGGATATTAAACAGGTATTGCTATAAGATGGTTGAAAAAAGAAAACCAGATTATAGACACCCAGAATGAAGACCAGACACAGATCCAAGGCGAGCTAAAAATCCGGCACACAACAAGGAAGGCAGTCACGTCAGGAGGGGGAAAGGACTCCTCCTGAGAATATAACGGGGCCACTTGTGAAATTAAGAATTCCTTCTTTATCTGGTATGAAAACTAATTTCACATAAATAAATGTATATCAACTTTGAAATTACTAGAAGAAAACACAGAATTTAATTAATAATATAAAGTTTGACTACATATAAATATGAAATCTATGTATAGCTTTCTATATGGTAATATTTGCATAGAAAAAAGTCTGGAAAGCTACTCAACAAATTGGTAATGATGGTGACCTTTGGAACAGTGGGCGTGCACATGTAGAGAGGGTAAGAGTTTTTTCTTTTGTAATATCTGTCCTTTTAATAACTCGATGTAATTCTTTTGTAATTTAAAATATTAAAAGAAAAATAAATAAAAATTCTGAGTGGATAGATAAGCGTATTAGAAACCAGTTCCAAAAACCTGGGCTAAATGGGGGAAGGAATGCTTTAAAAAGAACATAAAGGGTTCAGACTTTAAATTTAACTAAATATTACCGCTTACATGCGCTCCAGTGCCTTGCTCAGTGGGGGCTGTCACACCCTGACTGTGCTGAAGCAGGAATCCTGAAGAGCTGCTTTTTAACAGCAATATGAGAGCAGAATCTCACCAGGAGGGCACACTGCTGGCAGCACCAATCGCTTGGGCTTACTTACAATTTCATCAACTTGTAAATATAGTCACTGAGTGCCTACAATGGACCAGGCACTCTGGTAGGCACTGGGGATGTAGACAATGAATCATAAATACAGGAATCTAACTTGTAGGCGACCATGGTCTAAGTGGGCTTTATCCCATCAGTTCAGTAACTACAGATACTACTGCTCTGTTCACTTACTGTTATACAAATTTACTGTATCAAGCAGGGTCTGGCGGGCAAAAGAAATTGCCCTGGAAAGTTCAAATGAAAACAACTTTAATGAAGGAGCTCTATACAGTGGTGTGGGCAGAATTAAGAAAACAAACAAGCACACCCCTAGAGTTAAAGAGACAGGGAGAAAAAGTATTACCCAGACCCACAGGGAGTTGGAAGTGATGGAGAAAGGGATTCTCAGTCAGATCTGTTGTCATGGAGGAGGCAGTAACATGGCCCAAAGCAGCAATGGAACAGGGGAAAGCTGCCTCCACCCGCCTTCCCTCTTCTCCCGCAGGTGCCGCCCACTGGCTCAAGCAGCCCAGAAGCCAGCTGGCAAAGGAACCCTGGTGCACAGACGTTAGTCTCCTGGGATGTAGACTGGGCAGAGGAAGGCAGAAAACAGATGTGGGAAACAAAGAGAGCAGCATCAGATCACTAGGGTCCTCAAAAACACTGCCTAACAATGCGATCATGGTTCCTCTACGGTAGGGTCATTTAGGTTACCTCTAAGATGTGCTGTGGCAGTATCAGCATACTGATGTAGGAACGGCTGGCACATATTCCACAGCTCTAAGTATATTGTAAATTATTTAAAGGTAGGGACCATGTCATTTGATCTTGTCTTACTCAGAACTCCTATCACAAGGCTGGGAAAGCTGTACTCGGAGGAAGGAGACCGGCTCCCTTCCTTGCAGCAGACGTCCTCTTTCTCTCCCCATTGAACCTAAAGAACACTTTATTTGTATCTCTTACATGGGACTTATCACTTTCATCCTCGCATTTGAGTTATTCTTGTATACATGTATTGAGATGCTCATAAAGACTCGAAGCTTCTTGAGAAGAATCCTCGATACATTTGGGTCACTTGTACAAGGACAGATGAGTAAACAGTTGCAATGTTATTAGTGCTAGGATCGAATCAAGGAGGGGGTGAGCCTAGAGGAGGATCACTCTGTTTGAAAGGTCAGGGAAGATATTTTAGAAGTTACTTGACCTGAATTAAGTTCTCTAGTGGACCAAGCTGGCCAACCAAAAGAAGGGTGTCAAGCAATGAAGCTAAAAAGGTAAATGGGGGATCAGGAAGAGCTTTGAAGTCATGGGAAAGCTTTGAAGGATTTCAAGTAGGTCACTGACATAGTCAGATTTACATTTTAGAAAGAGCACTAACATCAGAGAGATTATCAGGGCAATATTGCTGATAAGAAGACTATCAAGTTAGAAAACTCCTAAATTTTCAGTAAAAAATGAGAACCTGAACTGAGGCAGTGACTAGAGTGAGAGAAGCAGATGGATTGGAGCGATAACCCCTTAACTTAACCTGTCCTCCCAATCCTCCAGGAGAAAGGTTTATCATCTGGGAAAATCAAGTAAGAGAGGTGCCAGACCCAGAGACAATGGAAAAAGCAGAAGGTTGCAGGAAGGCGCTAGACTGAAAATAAGAGGACTAAGTACAAGTTCATAGTGAGATCCCTTGGCGGCCTTTAACTATCCAGGTCTCAGCACATCTCTGTCAACAAGCACATCTCTGACAACCCAAATCAGGAGGAGAGTAGGCTCCAGGAGGAAGGCTAGGGGTAGTAGGGCAATGGAACAAATATGCCATCTGATAGGGTTAACTGTGAGAAAAACTGCCTTGAGCGGTCACCAGAAGGTGTGGGAAAATGGCCCCGAAGGAATAAAGAAAACTAATCAAATGAAAAACAATTATTAACCTTGGAAAGAGGAAAAGTTTGACAGGAAGGAAAACAATCAACATACACTTCCTGGAGAGCAGTGAGCAATATTTAGCCATCATGTAATCACTGACTAATGATTTATCTAAAACCTGTTAATGTAACTATATTGGAAGAATTGAAGAGAATAAGGAAAAAATATGTGTGTATATACAACAGATCAAGTGATATCTGAAACTGGTGAACCAAGCAGCAGCACTATAAATAACTAAAAAACTGATAAAGGTTCAACACAAACAGAAAGAGCTTCCTGATGGAATGTCAGGAAGGGTGAAGCGCGGAGTGCGGTTTTCCACTAGAAGCCTTTTACGCTATTTGACTTCTGTTCATGTGTATGTATTACTTTGATAAAGATTATAAACTCTTCATTTAAACAAAGTAAAAAGAGAAATGAAGAGGACGCTCAAGCAGTACTTGCAGGTCACTTACCTAGAAGCACTAACTTCTGCAGGGTCTCCGAATGATCCACATAGTCTCGAAGTGTGAATGAAGCCGGGGGCAATGGAGGGGCTGCAATAATCTGAACAGCCTCCTCCTCAGAAATTGGCTGCAATGGAGACAATGGAGGCACATCGTCCAGTCCTTGGAAGCCAGCCATGTGGAGAGAAGCAAGTTATCGCTCCAATCTGTACACTCAAAGCTATTTCTAGAAAAACATTTCAACTTCTTCCATAGTTTGCTTATTTTTAAAATCTTAGGATCATTTCAGGATCCAAGACCAAATATTCTCTACTTTCTAATAGGAAAGGTTAAAACTCTTTAGAGATCAGCTACTCTTCCTCCAACATAAGAAATGTCTTAATAAATTTCTATTCCATTAGGATGAAGCCTGTAGAAAATCCCTTCCCCTTTCCTTCACTTTAATCAATAGTTTGGAATGCTAAAGACCAACTGACCTTCAAGGACATCTAGAGAAAGAGATGGAATCTTTCTCAAAAAGATTCATAGCTTGTTAACTTGGCCAATGATATAACATATTCTACCAGCCTGAATTGTATGGGTTAAAGCAATCATCACATTCTGAAATGTCTTTACTTTGATTCTGTAGTCCTTTGCTAAGTGACTCTAGTACAGCCTTGATTCTGAGGTTTTGTTTCATCTTAAATCAAACCCAGTATGGGAGATACTGGAAAATACAACCTACCTTAAGCTAAGGAATCAGGACTATCTTTTTTTTTTTTGCCTCTAGCCTCTATTCTTTCTCATTTCTTACGGCCAGCCTCTCTTCCTAGCCCCCAACTCCCCTTCCCCGCATTGTCTTTCATACTCTACTTAACCTAAGTCTCATTTGCAATGAAATATCCTTATGTAGAAATATTCCTAGAATAGGAAGCACAGGAGGGAGAGGACTGACTAAAAAGTGACACAAGGAAGCTTTTGGGGGTGATGTAACTGTTGTACTGATTGACCGGGGTAGTCATTACAAATCTGAAAGCATATGTCAAAATTCGTAAAACTGTAGATCCAAAAAGGATGAATCTTTCTTCATGTTATTACTACACCCTAATAAACCTGATTATCAGGGGAAAAAATGAAAATCTAACTAAAGTATGTAGAAAACAAATGTTTTTATATAGCTATAAAATAATTCTATACATATTAACCTACAAGCTTTTTATCTTAGAATTAAAAGAGAGTTATAATAGAAATAAATAAATAGAACTGGCATTTTTATTTTTCTTGCCTGGCACAAAGTATGACTTGAAATGGGCTATCAATATAAACAGGTAGCTTATTCAAACTAGTAAAGTGGAAAGGGACTTTTCTGAAAGTTCAGAATTACCTTCTAGAGACAGCTCAGAATCAAAGTTGGGTATCTTTTGTGGCTGCTCATTCACGGAAGGAAGCACAGTGCTTTCGGCAGAGTTAATCTCTTGTTTGGTCGACTGGGAACTATTATTCCATATGGAGGAAGTCCTATAAGTCTTAAATCCCCACTGGAGAAAGCAATTGTGAGAGGACATCTGAGGCTGAGCAGAAAATCCACGCAGCAATGTTTTTCCTGGTCTCTGAAAATGATTTCCAAGTTGTGTAGCGGTAATGAAGCTATTCAGTCTAATCGAGCTGAACCACCTGGGTATCTGTTGGGCTGTGAGGGCCATTTTTCTTGAAATAGCCTACAGAGAATATTTATAACCATTAAAAACAGAGAAGTGTACTTTACTTAAATGTTTAAAACAACATTCAAACAATAAAAAGATAAATTGAAAACTCTGTTATAATCAAAAGGTATTAAATAAATTTAGATGACTAAAGTAGTTAGATGTTTCTTAAGCACAAGAAAAGTCAACAACAAGGCAGTCACATTTACAAACCAAAAGACAGGAACTTGTGAACTTGAAAAACAGATATGCTTTACAATTTAAAACTAAAAAACAAAACCATTAGTGGAAAAAAAATATTTAAAACAAAAATCTGTAAATGTTCAAATTACAGCTGAACTGAATAATCTGTTCATTTAATAATTTAAGGTGATACAATTGAGCGCTCTTAAAATTTGCTTTGAAGGACATTTAAGAAACAGATTATTGATCAAAACATTGAATTATTCAAATGTATTTTTTGTATATACAGCTGACCCTCAAACAAAATGGGGAGTTAAGGGCACCACGCCCCTCTAACCTGCAATTGAAAATCTATGTATAAGTTTTGACTCCTCCAAAACCTAACTACTAATAGTCAACTATTGAACAGAAGAAGCCTTATCAATAACATAAACAGTTGATAAACAAATACTTTGTATGTTATATGTTTCATATAGTGTAGTCTTACAATAAAGTTAGAGATGAAAATGTTATCAAGAAAGTCGTAAGGAAAATATATTTACAGTACTATACTGTATTTATCAATAGCACAAGTTTACACAATGAACTGTCAGTATGTCTTCCATGAAACAAAACACTGTCGATGTTATATGTATTACCAACACCAGATATCAAAAATAAAAAGATAACATGAAAAAGAAATTTGCATTTATTAACAGGTATAACAATTGATGCATTAATAACAAAGAAGCACCAATATAATTGCTTTATGGTTACTGATTTGCCTAATGTAATCAATATGATTGTTTTGCTATGATACCCTGTACACTAATGAAAAATGGTTATAAATTTTTATGGCATACAGTATTAGTCATGTTTATAAGGCAGTGTTGGAAACACTGTTAACATTCTTTAAAATAACCACTTACCTGTGATGATATTCAATTTCTATAATCTTTGGAGGGAGGGAGGGGGAGGGGAGATACTTTATGGTAATGTAATTCTTGGAAGGCAAAGTTATAAAACAGTGAGAAAACTAACACATTATTAATTTTATATTAAATATTATCCATCTTATAGCTATGTAAGGATAGGCTAGCTACTCCCACATGAGTCTTACAATGTTCTACATGATGAATACTTAGGCAATGATGATAAAACAAAAATGTCTCATACAGTTATTGTCAGTTATCAGATTTTCACACAAAGACACACATACACAAGAGGTAAGTTTATTAATTGTATGGCATGAAGATTATTTACTATGCATCAGGTGGAAGTGGAGCATCATAAAGGTCTTCCTCCTCACTATCTTCATGTTGAGGAGCTGAGAAGGAGGAAGAGGGGTTGGTTTTGCTGCCTCAGGGGTAGCAGATGCTGAAGAGGTGGGGAAGGTGGAAGGGAGGCAGGCACATTGCCTCCCTTTATGGAAATGTCATAATTTCTGTCTGACAATATTACTTTTTCATCTCTAAGATTCTTTCCACACAGTACCAATCCTTCTTCCACTGTTTAGTTTCAGTGCCCACATCACAGAAGGGTCCATGTCATAAAAGAAGTCCAAAGCAGTCTTGAGTCATCAAAACCTTTCTGCTGGGTTGTCTAATGCGTGTTTGGTTTCTGGCACTGCTTCTTCTACATCTCCTTCCTCCTTGTCTGGCACTGGTTCAGACGCACTCATCTCCATTAAGTCATCTTCGGTTAATTCTTCCTGTGTGGTGTCTATTAGCTCTTGAATCTCTCCAAGGTCCGTATCTTGAAACCTTTTAGCCTCCCTCTCTTCCTTATCAATAAATGTGCTTTGTGGCGCTTTTTTCCCCCCCAGGACACTTTCACCTGCACTAAAAACCTGTTCAGGCAGATAATCTTTCTCCTCAATTATTTCCTTAATGACGTCTAGGAGCTCATCTGCTGCCCCTTGGTCAGAAGGTGCTTCTGTTATCTTGACACTGTTAAAGCCAAACCTCTTTCCAAAATTATCAAACCATCCTTTGCTGGCATTAAATTCTCCAGTTTCGGATCCTTCATCTACCTTTTGCATTGTTGTATAATAAATTGCCTTTCTTCAAATCACATTAGAGTCCATAGGGTATGTCTTTCTTATAGCAATCCTGAACTCACATAAAAGCTACATTTTCAATATGAGGTAAACAGGTATTTTGCAAAAAGTGTAATGTTTTTGCACCTGCTAGCGCAGCTGCAGCAAATGCTTCATGAATTTCCTTTTCTTTTTTTGCAATGGTCCTTATGCTGGATTCATTTATCTTCAAATGCCCAGCAGCTGCAGATCTCAGTTTACAGTACATATTAAGCAATCCAGCTTCTTCGTGTAATGCCCTGACTTGCCTCTGGTTCTTAGGAGCACTTCCAGCATCACTGTGGCATCACTGCGGGCCCCGTGGTGTTACTCATTTGTGGTATTGCACTAAACACAATGCAATACACAACTTACTGGAGAGGAACTGCCCAAGTAAAGACGATTAGTGTCACAAAGTGGGTGTTTTAAGTGGGTACTAGCAACACTTGAGTTCACCACAACAGCAACAGTGGCTATGAAATTATTACAGAATATACCACAGTGAATTTCATGCAGTTATACTTAATACTTCATCTTACATTTGTTCATATTTCTCTTGACTGTGACAGCAAATGCTACTATGAACAGTCTGTAAGCATTATCCATGCAAGTGTTGATGTTTTAGCTTTTTATAACAGATTTCTGTATATTTCATTGTAGTAAATGATTAAACAGACTAGTATCTATATGTATATTTTATGCATTCATGACATAGCTAACTTTTTCTTAATTTTTCACTATTTCTAGGCTATGTGGCTTGTTTCCAAGTTTCTTCAAATTGTAACAAATCTCCAAAAATGTTTCCAATATATTTATTGAAAAAAATCTGCATATAAGTGGACCTGTGCAGTTCAAACCCGTGTTGTTAAAGGGTCAATTGTACACTCATCACAAAACAAAAAACAGGAATAAACCTACTGTGTCTTAAATGGATCATCAAAGAATTATCACTGCTATCTAGAAGGTTGCTTCTTGCTTCATCCTCAGGGCTGTGAAATATCAAAACAGAATTGAACAAAACCAGCTTTGTCAAATACCATTTGTAGAAAAAAAAAAAAGAGTTGACTCTTTTCAAAGAGTCTAGTTTTCAAAAAAAGTCAAAACTAGAAATTGAAGAGAAATATGTTAGCAACCAGCAATGAATACATGTATTATTTATGATAGAAAAACAGTTGCTTTTATGAAGGTTTTTATAAGAAAAGGCTGATAAATGCCTGGAAGGAGGAAGGAATATGAAGGAATTTATATTTAGCCAGCTTAATTAGAAAAGTAAATTTGATGCATATATAATTTCACTAATAAGTTAATACACAGAAAACACAACCTGGAGTTCTGCATATGGAAAATGCTCCACAAATATTACTGAGATTGTTATTATTATTATTTACACAACCAAATATAAGTGAATTGAACATAACTCTGCTTTGTTTTTCTATGTACTGGAATTCAGCTTGTTTTATTCTCTGAATGGGCCAAATACTTCGGAGCCTAACCTTCTCTTGGAGATTTTCACAGTTGACCATTGAATAATTTGGAGGTTAGGGGCACCGACCGCGGTGCAGCGGTCAACCTGGGTATAACCAAGTTCACTTTCCGCATTTGCAGATTCCCAATCACAAATCGAAAACGCTTGTTAGTTTAGAGAAGTTTCCTGAAAGGGATTTTAAAAAGTGAAACTCGTACTATCATTCTGAAATATTTTTAAAAAGCAATAAGCATGCACAATGGCCTGTGACATAGACGATTTTTGTTAAATTTTGTTTGGAAATGAGTCTCCAAACCTGCCAAGTTTTCCCTCAAACCTGTAACATTCATTCTCTGCACAGCAAGGTCATAAGGCACTAAACTGAAAGCCAGAAGACCTCAATCAGGCTATCTTGGCAAGACAGAGTTTCCTGAGGTGGCCTAGAAAAATGTCTGGCCCATGATGGGGTTCAATAACCATTTTTTAAATAACAAATTTTTTTAAAAGGTTACAGGTACAAGAAGATGATTCATTCTTAAGGTCCCTATTAGGTGTAAAATGTTCTGACATTAAGTTTATCTAAGAATATCCTCCTACTTCAAAGCAAACTTCTGAAATTCCAATCTCACTCTGCAGCCTTTCCAGTCTCAAATTAATAATCCTCCCAACAAGACAGATGAGCTTTAGAATTCCATTCATAGTCATTAAAACACCTTTATGTATACAATTCATGTTTATCCTTCTATTTTTATTTGCAAGCGCACTAACTTTTCTACATCATTTCACTTCTGAGTATCTGTTCCTTCAGGAGAGTAGGGTCTCAACTCTGGATTCACTCTCTCAGTGACTATCTCCCATTAGCCTTGCACTGTGTGTTGGACTGAAATAAATCAATTGCAACAAAGGCTAACCCATTTGCCTACAGCAGGTATTTGCGTATGTGCATAAAAGACCTACTCAGTGATAGCAACCTTCTAACATGACTCTTTCATCAGGAATATTTTTTTTTTTAAAAAAAGCGTCAAAGAATTCTTTGCTTCATTAAAACATCATATCCTTCTCCAATGTGTGACTTAGTACTTCACTAGGGATAGGAGTTGGCATTGAAATGCTGTTCAAGATTTCTACCTCTGTAAGGCTAACAACAGAGGAAACGGGGCTGAAAAGACGGCTTCGTAAGCAAACCCTCCCTAGGCCATTTTAATCCACTTCTGTTATCACACCGAACTTCCGCGTCCTTCGGTTAACGCTTTAGTAAGCACGGTTTTGGTCTCATCACCCTCGCTTTTGCCGTGAAGACCTAAAGGCCAAGAGGCCCTGGGACCGACTCCGCCTAGATACTCGTGGGTGCACACCAAAACCCTGGCCGGGACAGCGCCCTTGCGCTCAAGCAGCTTTCGCTTTACCTGTGGCGAGGCCTAGCTAGGTCTTGCGGTTCGTTTCGCAGTGACAGTCGGGGTAGCGGGGCCGTCCGTGCAGTCCCACTACGCCGCACTCTTGCTCGTCCGCCCGCCGCGCCGGCGCCCCAGTGCAGCCTCGCCCACGTGGGCTGCGGCGGGAGTGGGCGAGACCACCTGGGAGGCAGCGCGGGGGGAGAGCAAGCGACATGTGGGGAGGAAAGCGGGCCAGGACCCACAGTTTCCCTTCTCCCGTTCGCCCCTTCCCTTAAGCATCGTCCTGGGGGAATCTGAAGACACTAAGACAGTACAGAGATGCCTCTCGCAAAAACGATAGCTGGGACACGGCCGGCAGCGGCCCCTGCCCGAAGCGGCGTTGGCGGTGACGCGACCCCGCCCTCCTGCGCTGGTCGGTCTTTCGGCTCTCAGCTAGTGCTCCGCGCCAGACCCCGTCCCGCCGTTCGGCCTCCCTCTCGCTGCGGCTCGTCACCTCCGGGGTCCCAGCCTCCACGGGCCGGGGCCGCCGCCGCCGCAGGACGGGGAGGCGGGCCATGGCGTCCTGCGTGGGGAGCAGGACCCTGAGCAAAGATGATGTGAACTACAAGATGCATTTCCGGATGATCAACGAGCAGCAAGTGGAAGACATCACCATCGACTTCTTCTACCGGCCGCACACCATCACTCTGCTCAGCTTCACCATCGTCAGCCTCATGTACTTCGCCTTTACCAGGTGAGGCGGGCCCAGCCGCGCGGGGGGCGCGCCCTTGGGCCAAGGGAAGCAAGGGACGGGAGGCGTTGTAGGGGAGCGTGGCCCGGGGTGGCTCCTCGTGAGGAAGTGGGCTGGCTCTCCTCGTACACACTCTCACACGCAGACCCACCGCCCACACTGCTCCTCACCCGCCCGGTGTGTAGCAGAACACCCATCCCTTGCTGCCCCCCTGCACCTGCGTTGGCCCCTACCCTCCAGTCCCCGGCCCCGCCCTTGTCTATATCATCTCTCCCCATACAGAATCTCAAGCTACCTCGGAACACTTGCGGGGCATCTAGCACAAGTGCCCCCTCTCCTACCTCACTCAGCATCGCTCCCCATTCACATCACGACACCGGCCCCCTCCTCTCCAGTCCGCGTTTCTACCCAGCGCATCGCATGAATCATCTCGTATGCATCACTTTCAGAGCATACCAGTACACACTGACAACACCACAGTCCACAGCGTCTCCACGCACCAGGCCCAGGCCACAACCCAGATCCCTTCCCGTGGAACTCCTCCAGTATTCGGACGACCCCCCCCCCCCCCCGCCTCCCCGCCCATGCAAAAAAAATGCACCTATGAGGTTTTCATATGCGCTGCACACAAATCAGCTAGCATAACCCTTCCCTAGCGTCAAACACGACCTTCTTTACAACACAAACTGTAGACACACATATTACAGTGGACCTTTCTCCTTCTAGCACAACCAGTTCCTACCACCTCTTGTGTACATTGCTACATAGACACAATGCACCCTTAATCACCTAACATACTTGCTGAAATGAGATATCGTCAAGCAATTGTAACAAGCCTGGTGCATAGTAAACACTATGGAATGTTAAACACATAAACCTCACCTAAAATAGTACAACTCTCTCATCCCCCTGAAAACACACACACACACACACACACACACACACACACATACACACACTCAAAACACTTCTAATATATACACCTATGCGTAGGAGCTGCCCCGCCCAACTCTTGACACCCACATCTTAAAACTCTTTGTGACTGAACATGTGGCCTCACAGCCCCAGCCCAGGGAGCTGATTCGTCTCTGGCTCATAATCCCTGGTCCTACGTACAAGGATTTATATTTTCTGAGTGAACCTCTTTAAAGAAAGAAAAGGCATGCTTACCACACAGTTATGGCTTAAAAGACCAACCCCGAGAAGTGTGATTTTGGAGCCAGATGGTTGGTTTCAAAACTATTTGTGTTCTCTGTTAATTTACTTAACCTTTCTCTAAGCCCTAGGATCCACACCTGTAAAATGGGGATAAAATGTGTATTTAACTCATATGAAGGGTGAATGATTATATTTGAGTGAGCCTAACAGAGTATTTGGTGCATGATGCATGGTTAATATCAGTTACTTCTCTCCCAAGATTTTTATCCAACAACCAATGGTTCTCCATCCAGGTCAGCAGAAAATGTGCAAGAGTATACTCAGTGATCACAAGCTTTGGGGGAACTTCTGGTATTTAGAGGGTGGGCATTAGGAATGCTAAATGTATTATGACACATTGGACAGCATTGTACCACAAAGAATGAATTGTCTTGTACATACAGCCATGCGTGTACACGTGTGTGTGCACACGGACACAAGAGCCAATGGTACCTCCCTTGGTAATCATTGCAGTGTTTCAGATTTCCATAAAACTAATAATATCCTCGCACATTATACTTACTCCTTATTTCCATAATTCGACTCTTGGTTATTTTGTGTTTATCTATTTGCATGAATCTACCTAAAGCTTTAAGCAGGGGTGTCCAACCTGCAACACCTGGGGCTGCATGAAGCCCAGGATGGCTCTGAATGGGGCCCAACGCAAATTGTAAATTTACTTAAAACAGTACGAGAGTTTTTTGTGATTATGTGTTGCAGTATATTTAACGTGTGGCCCAAGACAACTTTTCTTCTTCCAGTGTGGCCCAGAGACCCCAAAAGATTGGACACCCCTGCAGGCATATATAACAGTTATTTACTCTTAATGATTGAGGATATAGCTGCTGTTGCTGAGTCTTCTGCTAATGCTGTGCTGTAGGGTGAGGCCAGGCCATTCCACAGTATCCAACCAAGAACACATTTCCAGCTTTGGAGAGAAATCAGTCTTGTCCCTAATTATGGTTTCCCTTAAATACTTCATCTTATCCTCTGCTTTTACAACTTAATTAAGCTTTGTGGCCATCAATTTGGCTAAGCTTCAGTTTCCTTATCTGTATGTAAAATGAAAATACCTGGTATTACCGCACAGGATTGTCTGTCATGAGGTTCACTTTATTTGTTTATTGGTAATTTGCATTTAGCTCAGTGCAAATTGTAAGTGCTCAATAAACATTAGCTGTTATGAGAACATCATTTTATTGTATATTAATACCTTATAAATTGTATTTGTCATTGATTGAAGATGTAGTGTGCCCTATAATTGAGAAAATACATGCCTGGTTCATGTTAACTTCAGTATAACTTCTCATTTGTGGGTTGGCAAGATGGAATTAGTGCAAGAGTTTCTTTGGAAATTAGATAAGTAATTATATTTTATTTTAAATAATGAGAAACAAGAATGAGCAGTTTATTTCAGGCTTTTTTCTTTAATATTATTTTAGACCCCTTCAGAATAGATCTCTCTCTTTTCTAATATAGGAAGTCATATTCTGTCAAAGCATTTGATAAATAGCAGGGGAAAATATAAGAAATAAATATGAATTTAACAGCTTGTCAAAAGTAATGGAAAAGATGTCTGAATTTCAAACTATGGCCTTTTTAAAAAATTATATTATTTCTTCCACTAATCTCATAAAGAGACAGAAATCACATACTGAAGAGCTAATTAATAATAAACTTCACCTTATGTAAAATCATGAGCACCATTAATACAATTAGTACCCACTATATCTTACTCATGTTTTTTAATGATTTGTAACCCTTTAAAGTGGGATATTACAGTGATAGCTCCTTCTTCCTCCTTAAAAGTTGAAAGCACTTGTTAGGAGGTATCTTTGAATCTTTGAGCTTGCTGAGTAGACACCATGAACAAAGCTCACCCTCCCAAGTTAAAAAAAAAAAATGTATAGACAATAAATTAGTTGGTGGCAGATGTGTCCAAGGAATATTGTGGAGATTTGATCCCTTTATGGATCTCGTGACAGATGAATGTGTAGAGATGGCAACTAGTAGGGAACAGAACAATATTGGAATGTTGGTAATAGGAGAAAATAGTATCATCATGTTAGAAGCGTTGGGACGAGTATAAATTGAGTTGTGCACATTTCACATTGCGCTTTCGTTAGATAAGTATTTGTATTGGCCATAAAAAGAAAAAAGATTCAAAGTAATGATTTCCTAAATGAAAATTACTTGTTCTGTACTCTTTTGTAATGATTCTCTCTAGTACTTGATACTTATTTTGTAATAGGATTTTAGTTGGATGACTGTTCACTGCAATCCTTTCAGTAAAACGTAAAAAATATGTCTTAAAGTTTGTTTTTCAAACAGTAGTAGTCTAAGAGAATAGGAGATAGAACACTTGCGGGGTGTCCTGTTACCAGTGTGTGAGCAATAGTACCTGGGCCCTGTCACATGCTCCAGAGGCACAGCAATAATTTAAGATTGTGACAGATTAGGCACCTCGCACAGAAGTCTGAGACAAGCTTGGATTTGTCAAGCAGTTCTATTGTTAAAGAGCAAGTAGGCCAACTCACTGTTAAACCATAGCATCTAAATGTTCTGTCCCTATCACTGTCATTAAATATAAAGCCAGATGCTATCGAATCATTCTCCCCAAGATTTGAAATGGCTCATTTTTGCTACCTTTTAGAATAAATATTTCTATAAATGAAATGCTGTGGCATGTGTTTTATAAGTTTGTTCAGCCAGAATGGGGCAAGGAGAACCTTTGTCTTAAGCTCAGAGTATAGTAATTACATAGGTGCCTCATATTTCCTCTGCTTACAGGGGTTGGTAAACTTGTAAATGCTGAATGGCCTTAGTTGCAAAAAGTCAAGCCTTAGATTTGAAGACACCAAAATCTCCTAAATCACATTCACAGCAGCCTGTCTCTCTTTAAGGGACACCTGGCAATAAAACAGTGGAATCAGTCTCTCCAGTAGCACTTGTCCAACGAACACTGTCACTTACCCAGAAGAGATTGCCTTCCCGCAGCTTGCTGCACCTCCGTGATTTCAACTCTCCCATGCTAGGTTTCTCCTTGATGTGGGATTAAAGCGATGCACAAAGGCAGGGAAATGGACAGATCTTTGATCGGTTTATTTCTGTTTGCTTGTTAATAATGGCTTTTACTTCATTTCCCTTAGTGGCTTTGCAGCTCCACCCCTCTACCCTATCATTAAGATACAGTTCTACCC